TACTCTTTTCTGAAACAATTTTGTAAACCTCGCAATTTTTTATAGTTATTATACAAAGTACAAACTACTGTTCCTATTGCGTAACCAAAAACAGTCCATGCTGATTCACATAGGATGTCGGACAGTTACAATTTAAGCACTAGAATAAACAGAAGTCATATCTTTAATTCCAGTATGTTTTAAATTTACATTTCAAACTCGATTTGCTTGCATTGAAAGAATACGAGCAACTTTTGTAGCCTTACTCAAAATCCAAGATGGCGGCCAAAAGGAGATTATGAGGGGCACATTTAAATTTCGATTTACAGAGTAAACGCTACCGTTTTATCCTTTCTATCATGCATTTTTGTTGTGCTTTTTAGTCAAAGATTAAAATTATACAGGTTTCGGCTGTTCCCCTTAAGTAAGCCATAAACCCCAATTTTCGTGTCACAGCTGATGGACTAAATGGCTTCAATCCACTGTTTCTTTCGGAATGACTTAAACAGCAAAAATTATGTTCCATCCCCCAGAAATCAGAGGATAGAGGCGTAGTAGTCCTACTTTATAAGAAGCAGAGTGAGCTGGTCGATATTTTTTTAAACACTTGGAGTAGTCAAGGAGCATATATCGCTGAAAAAATTTCCATGGGATTTTTGTGATGATTTCAAGCGACCAGTGTAGAAGTGTTGAGGGAGACCTAAGGAACATGTTTAATGTTGTCGACACCTCTGCAAATCGTGCAGGAGGTATTTAAGAAGCACTGAAAAATTGCTCATTGAGCCTTACATGAAAACGAGGCTAAGGTTTGGAAATGCTTAAAAAACGGTTGTTCAATCACGTTCTTTTCTGTAAATGTAAAAGTAATATTCATAAGATATCTAGTAATGTTTAATTACCTCTAGTGCATTGGTAAAAGTTTAAAATCCAAATTTTTAGCTCAAAAGAAGACAGTTGCCTTAGGTGAAGTAAGATTCCGTGGAATATCAATGTGGGAGAACAAGTAATTTGTCCAGCAACAAAAGTGAACATTCCTCGTTTTTTCCCCTGCACTTCAACGTTCAGGTATAAACTAGACTGCTTTCATAATAGAATAAGACATTCCATTTTCAGACAATTACAGTCATCAATTGGCTATTTTTTTCTTCATTACGCTTGCTAATACATATTCCAGTTTTCTGGTTTGGTGTTGTGTGTTGCCACATAAACATCTGGGATACATATTGCCGTTACGTCTTTTACACATTCTAAATGTGGAGTTCTACAGAAACTGGAGAGACCAAAGATCTCCATTTAAGTTTGTGTATTATTTGTGGCCAAAATTAAGCCAAATGAACGACTTGTAGAGAAACCAACTTCTCATGACAGAGTTTTGACGTACATACGACAATGGCCGTCTTACGCCCATTTAGAATACTTCGAAAGCTGGTCAAAATTAAAAACGTTTACAGCTCAAAAGCTTAAGCATAAAGGAGCATCGTGGCACAGACACCATCATAGGGTCATATATTGCAATCGCTCACAGATTTTCGAGCAAAAGAGAGACTGCTCCTGGTCTGTACGGGAATGCTTAGGCGAGCAAGAGAACGGTAAGAGAGAGAACTGGCTGGACCCAATGAAACAAGACCGAAGATTTCAAACGTGGCGCCAGAGGAAATACCGCCGCGGTTAACGAGATCTAAAAATCACCATTTAATATAGATAGGTGCTTCTTTTGTGAGGGCGGTGAGTTTGGGGAAAAGTCCTTTTACTTCTGCTACCTACTTACGAGCGGCATATTTATGGGAGAATTCATTGAAGCAAACAATGTCCATGAGGATGTATGCTATCGAAAAACGCGAAAACCGTTAGCTCAAATTTTGATACCTGAAGTGGAATTTCACCGACCACCAAAAGCTAACGAATCAGAATGATTAAGCATTAAGAAGACACGGGATACCACCATTCATCTTGTAGAAAAGAAAAGTAGTGACGATTCAAAACAAATGAATGCACTGTTTGAAGCTGCACTCTTGTTACGGCAGGCAAACAATACCTGCACAAAATGGGTGTTTTCAGTGATTGGCCAGTGTTAGATTTCTGTCAGTTCGGAGGTCTTTGTTTACACCCGATGGTAAAATTCTTCACTATTTTGTAAAGAGCGCTTCCATGAAAATTGTTGAAAAGTCAAGCGCTTGGTGGTGAATCAGAGCAAAGAGCGACCACTGGTCCTCAGATTAGTGCCAATGAAAGAGTAAATATGGAACCCTCATTTCAGCTGCGAGTTGCCGTTGTTGACGCCATAAATTGGCAGAACGTCAATCTCTTTACCAGGCTTTCGATATCAACGACTGTTCGCAATGAGCTGACCGCTTTACTGCCAGAATTATCCATAAGTACAAGTCCAATGATGAGATCTGTCTGATTTTCGATATATATGACTTGCCAATGTGTCTAAAAACAGCTACCTGAGTAAACGGGGAGGCTGATCAAGGTCCCGTATATTAAAGTATCAGTAATTCCACGCTTTTCTCTTAGTAAGACCGAGAACGAGCTATCTAGCCACCTGGCAGAGAAGTTCCTAGATCCTGCTATGGAGTCAAATCTACAAGTTGTTGGGACCTGGGGTTACCAGTGTCGTGCAGCACAACAAAATGGGAATGGAGACGTTTATAAGCCAGCTTTATCAGCCTGGAAGCGGTATACATATATGTATGTTCAGAAAAAATATCAGGCGAATCGGATGGGTTTCCTCCAAACGAAGGGTCGCTTTATGAAGCAATTCTCCGCGCCCACTATCAAAATGATAGTTTGGAACAATGATAAAGTGTGCTGCCCTAGTTTGTCACAGCCAGATGGATTCGGTGGGAGAAAAGGGAGGATAAGTGAATCCTCGTTATGACAGAAGAAGCACCTGCTCCTGAAGAAATCGTCCTATTGGTCAAGTGCGGCTGTGAAGGAACCGATGCTCACATAGTCGATGCCACTGCCGGAAATCAGGCTTGAATTACGCCTACCTCTGAGTGTTGCTCACAGTGAAGATTCCTATGAAAATGCATGTGAAGATACTAATACATTAAAAATTGAGGACAGTGAGGTGCAAAAAGATTAGAAAGTCGAAATTTGTTGAAAAATATGGCTTTCAATTTGTCAGTGTGAAAAGGTATTAATGTTAGTACTCTTTAAGGGTAACATTGTATTAAGTCTCTACTTCGGGTCACGTGACCACGCAAAAGTGTCAACATCAACTACTTATCAAGTAAGACATCCCAGAATATCGAAACTGATTGTAGTTTGGTCCAAAATTCCAATAAATGGCCATTTTTCAGTCGTTTTATTGTTCAGCCTCGTTCTCATGCAGGGCAGAAAAGTGCTCTTCTTTTAACGCCTTCTAAAAATCCTCTGCACGCAATGCAAAAGTGCCGACAACATTAAACATGTTCCTTGGGTCCCCCTCAACAGTTCTGCACTGGTCGCTCGAAATCATCACGAAAATTCCACGGGAATACCATTGCTCCTAGACTAGTAACAGAAGTATCGGGAGAAGTCTCCGCACGCGGCGTGTTAATGAAGAAAAATAAAAGCAATGATGGCAGTAACAGATCAAGTTTTTAGTACACTGCCTCAAAGATTAACAGTTTGTAGACCGTATGTGAGAATGCTTCTTCTAGAAGAATAGCTCTCGATCTCTATAGCTCTTTTGACTATTCCCGTCAGTACCCTAGAGAAATTTTACTCTTGACAGATCAATTAACACTCTCCACCTCCCATGGTGCACAAGTTTGTCAAGCCGAAGGTTTCCGATTATTCAAAGAAGCTGCGTTTCGGTCTGGAAAGGTGTCACCTGGAACAAAAGAACTATTGTTTTAAGTTTAATGGGCAAATTCAGGTTGGTATAGTAGAGCATTTTTTGATACGATGGCGATGAAATATCTAGACAAACCAACAAAGTTTTCGTCTTAAAAATTGAACGGCCGTGCAAAATGGAATTAATTGATATGGATAGCCGTCTCTATGATTTGTGCATTATATTGGCACAAGCGCAAACATAACTGTGACAAATGTAAGTGAAAAAGCGATTATTTTATCAAAAATGCCTGGCTCATAACTTAAAATCTTTCGCTTACTTTACTAGAACTGTGCTGGTACAACTATTGTTACTTTGTTAGTATTTAATTTGCCAAACATATTTATTTAATCATTTGTCAACAACTAGTGTAGCCCAAGTCTAGGTAATTGCTCCAATCTTTTTTTTCGTTTATTCTCCGCACCCGAATTAGCAATTAATGCAGAGAAAGAGGGAAGATGAGGCTGTGTGAACTCTGATTTTAAGGTATAGATCCCATCTGTTATTCGGCCTTTAACTGAGGAATTGAGTGAGACAACTTGAATGAAACGAAGCCATGTTTCCTCTACTTTAATCACACAAGGACTCCTGGGAAGACTCCAAAAATTACTTCATGTAACATCTCCCCTGTTACAGTAATAAACGATCTTACTAAAATCAGCGACTTGAATTTAGAAATTATCTGGCTTACAACATGTACTTAAATGTCTTTCTGCAATACGTTGACTTGATCCTAGGAAGTAAAACTAAAACTCAACAAAGAACTAAAGTTAATGTCAACGTTCAGTTCATAAATCGTCTATCAAACGTAGTCTGCGAATCTTGATGGGCGAACGCTGACTCTGCCACTTCTTGTAACGAGAGTCTGAGGTTGGTGCGATTTCCTTTCTTCTTTCGCTGTAGATTTAGGGTGGACATCTGTTGGCTTCGGCAAAGGTGAGCTCTGCTTGGTGGAGCTGCTATCGGTGATGATGGGCTGCTGATGTCCTTGACTAGGATCTTGGCAGATGAACTTCCGATTACGTCTGTATAGGTTTCCGTTATCTGTTTCGATCAGGTATGAACGTGGGCCGACTTTTGCCACACACGAGCCTTTGTCATACGGAGCTTTGGGGTTTACTGGCTGAAGACGTACTGGTTCTCCAATTTGAAGCTCTGGCAATGGCCTTGCGCTCTAGTCGTAAGTTGCTTTGGTCTACACCCTCTTACGTTTAATGTTGTCATGTACACCTTCGACAGCTTCAGGTTTTAGTAACGCGTCAGCGGTTGAGATGGTGGTCCGAGTTCCTCTTGAGATGAGCTTTTGAGTCGGACTTAAATTGTTAATGTCGGGTGTGTTTCGCCATTCCAACGGGGCCATTTGAAGATCTTTGTTTTCTCGGTTAGCTTTCTTAACCAGATTTTTGGCGATCTTAACGGCTGACTCTGCTTTGCCATTGCTCTGACTGTGGAGTGGCGAACTGGTAGTGTGCTGAAATTCCCATTCTCGTGTGAAAGCGGCCAACTGATCGTTTGAATATTGGGGACCATAGTCTGTAATCATGTCTGCAATACCATGCCGGCAAAGTGTGACTTTGTTGCCTTGATCACAGACTCTGTAGCTGCATCTTGCAACAAATCTAGTTCAAAGTAATCACTGTAATAGTCAACAGTCACTAGGAAGGTCTCACTTCCATAGGTGAAGAGATCCTGACCAACCTTTGATCATGGGGTATCTGGAATGTTATGCGTCATTAACGGTTCCTTCTGTTGTCTGGCTAGAAAGTCATTGCAAACTTCACAGTTTTGAACTTGTTTTTTGATTTTGCGTGCCATACTTAGCCAAAAAAACACATCACGTGCTCGACGTACACAGGTATCAGGTCCTAAATGACTGGAATGGACTCTTGCAATCATTTGAGGTCTCATTTAAATGGGAAAAATGACCTTCATTCAACTCCGTCTTGCACTGTTAACTCTTCTTTGTAATTCCAATATTCTCGAATGCAAGGTGGAACATCTTCTTTGGAGACTAACCATCTTGTCGTAGTGGGGTCTGCAAGAGTGCATTGCTTAATCTGCTGATGGGTACGCTCAGATAAGCGCATGTAATCAACTTGATTGATGCTGGAAATTTCTTCAAACAGCTGCTGTTCTTGCTTGAGTTGGAAGATTTGGTACTCTGGTGTTCTCTTACACTGGGTGCGGTCAACTTGGAGGTAAGCTCTGCTAAGTATGCCCGCTATGTACATTTGAGACCCAGAAAGATAAGTCACATTTAGATTGTGCCTTTGCAAAAGCAGGAGCATTCTCTGTAGCCTTCTAGGCGCTGAATGAATAGACTTCTGGAAAATGGGCACCAATGGCTTATGGTCTGTTTCTACAGTTGTAAGTTCTCTTCCGTGTAGGTACTGATTAAAACGACTGCAAGAAAAACAATCGCCAAGCATTCCTTATCTATTTGAGCATACTGGCGTTCATCAGTGTTCAACGACCGTGATGCAAATGCAACCAGCTCTCCTTCTTGGAGCAAAGTTGCTCCCAAACCGACTCTGAAGCGTCACATTGGATAGTGGTTTCACTGGCCACATCATAATGCTTCAACAGGGATGCAGAGCTGATCATGCTTTTGATTGCTTTGAAAGCTCCCCCCTGTGAGCTATCCAAAGTGAACATGACATTCTTCTCAGTTAACTCGCGTAGTGGTTCAGACACTTTTGTGAGCTGTGGCATGAACCTGGACAAGTAATTAACACATTCCAGAAGACGTTGGACTGCTCTCTTATCATCAGGTCGAGGCATGCTTGCAATTGCTTCGATTTTTATGGGATCAGGCTTTAGTCCATCTGACGTGAACAACTGTACCATGTAAGTAACTTGGTTTAACTTTAACCTCAACTTGTTTTTGTTAAATTTCAGATTAACACTGCGTGCACGCTTTAGCAAGTTCACTAAATTGCAATCGTCATCTGCTAAAGCTTTTTCCGTAGATTCTCCGCTGCCATAACATGTCATCTGCAATTATAACTAGTCCATCGAGGCCTGCGAGCGCTTCATTCTGGCACCGTTGATATTCTTCTAGGGCGCTGCTGATTCCTTGTGGCATGCGAGGATAGCGATATCTCCCAAAAGGAGTCCAGAATGTTGTAAGGAGTGAACTTTCATTGTCAAGCTTAACTTGATGAAATTATATTTCTTCATTGATTGTTGGTAGTTTCAAAAGTGCAATTTTCATAGCTTTTCCGTTTGTTTTCAGCCGTTAATAAACATCGCTTGCAGGAGTACTCAAAATGCCGAGCGTATGAAACGCTTTTTAAGATTACACATCGTTATAAAACCATGAATAAAAAATAGAACTCAATAAATTCTCTATCACGTTGAAGCGTAACTCTTTTAAAATGTTTTCGCAAATTTGGCGCTTGTCAAAAGTTAGAACCGGCTGGCCGTATAGGTGATTTTGGAAATGTTTTGAACTGTGTCACTAAAATTCCACGCGTGCTTCGATGGTCTTGAATATTGAATGAATTAAATGATGAATTAAATTGTGAATTACTGCATTTTGTAGAGGTCTGTATGATAAAAACAGCGCCTCGTAGTACTCTTTCTCCTCAGATGTGGTGTATAAAAACACAAAAGGTTGGTTTGCCATCACCCAGATTTATTGGCAAAAATTTGTAAAGTAAACTTGTCAAATGCGAAAAATTTGGCCAGATTTGTTTTCCACGCCTCTACTATGATCAACAGCCATTATTGCTCTTAAATGTGACCGAAGACTATTTTTTGGGCGTACATATAAGGCTATATCAGCTCGATGCAAGATTTGTTTCTCTACAAAATCACTTAGCTTGTCCCTCAAACGTCACATGAATGTGCCTTTAAGTTAACTGATTTGTGGAATACAAGCTTATTGTTTGATTTAAATTATAAATTTATCAATGGGAGCTTCGCTTTTAGCCGTGGCTACGTTCATGTCCGTGGTTACGTTCATGGGCGCTGGCGGTGGTATTTGATAAAATGGCATGTTGAAGAAAACGAATACTCAGAGTTCTGGTGCTTTCCAGTTTCTCTCAGCTAAACAATATGGCGACGCCTCACCACGTGCACGACTCGCGAACGAGAAAATAATACCACAACAGCAACGACGGCTTCTCTGAAACGTTCCCCTTCTTCTTCTACTGCTTTAGAATTCTTGTAACTACGATTTTAACTTCTGACACCATGTTATTCGGCCTGGGGAATTGAGTGAGACAACTTGAATGAAACGAAGCCATGCTTTCTCTACTTTAATCACACAAGGACTCCTGGGAAGACTCCAAAAACTACTTCATGTAACACCATCTTGAAAAAACGGTGAAGGTTCTTGGGTGAGGTGCATGCTTACATTTCTGTCGATTGTTACGTAGTAAAATTGCCGTCATGCGTCGCCTTACTTCCTCGAACGTTCTCTACGTTTTTGGATCATTCTTGTATAATTAATTAGGGCATGTTTAAACTTTCCGCATGAGTCAGCAGATTTGCATCAGTTACTGAAATCATAAGATATGTTGAAAGCTTCTAATATTCGCCTGTTTAGTATTTTCTAGAACCTTTTGTGAAACAGTATACAAGTTCCAAACGAGTTGTTTTGACGAACTAAGTTTTTTCCCATGAGCTGGAGTGCTGTGGTTAGTCAATTGTGACGAAGGTCGATTTTCAAGTTCTGTGGTTATAAGCTGGCGGAGGCCGTAAGATTTCTGAGTTTCATGTGAGAGTTTATTATTATTGGTAGAGGCTGTTTGGTTTTACTTAAGTTCAAGTCCAAGCTCAGTAAAGACTATGTTCCTTTAGTATTAAACTTCCTTGTGTTAATCTGACATCCCTGCGTGCTGAAGAATAATTTTCCTTAAAACATTAAAACTCGTAACATTGGGGGCCTGTTCCGCGAGAGGAATTTAACTGTTTTACTGTCTGTGTAACCAGGAAAAAATGTTTGGTCCATCTTAGTCTGGAAGACCTCTTGAGACGTTTTGAGGCTAAAGGGCATGCGCCTGAACCTGTATCTCCCAAATGTAGTGAGGTTAATAGACTCTTTTCCCGAAACCACGTTTCGGTATCCGCATTTTTTTTTCTCCGTAAAATACTTTAGCATCCTTCCGATTTAACAGGATCTCTTCTAGGGTGAGAGTGACATGATGTTCAATCTGAATAGCTGCATTGAGGTCTTTGGTGTTCAGGTGGAGCCTCAACCTTCCGTTCTGTTTGCGGCGGTAAAGAAAGCTGTTGAACCATTGTGTCAATTCACTTTTTTCGGTCTTCGCTATAATGACATTTCTTGTCTAGTTCCTTACTGATGTCGTCTTTGAGGCTGATTGTCATACGCCTCGTGGGATCGACAATTGGGGGTAAACTTGGTTCATATACTATGTGGTATTCGCATGGGAACCTTTCCACTGCGTTGAAGCATTCAAGATACTGACTGATCACGTACTGTTTGTCTTTTTCATGGCTTACTTCTTGCAAGCTGTATTGGTGCAGGGTGGGTTACGTTTTCGTAAATAGTAAAGTTGCATATGAATAGCTTCAAGTCAGTGGAAGACTGGAGACCTATGATGGCTGGGCCGGGAATTTCTGTGACACAGAAGGATACTCTTTATATCAATGGTACTGCGATGCGTGATTCGTGAGCCGTCGTGGACAGTGAGGGTAATATCCGAGTGTAATAAGGAACCACCCCAATGAGAATGTGTTTCCCTGTGCACCGGTGTCCAGCTTGAGGATGTTCTTATGAGTGTCCTGTTGCAGGCTTAAATTAACTGATACAAATGCTTCATTACCAAGATGATCGGTCTCCCTAGGAGCTTGAGGCTTGGCTTCTGGCTTGTCCTAGAGTCTGAAATCGTTGTCTTGCAGGCGTCTGTAAAATGGTTTGACTTCTTGCGGGACAGACATACTTGATCACTTGCTGGGCAGTTAGAAGGTGAACTACGGGCGCGGCCGCAGTTTCTGCTCATCCGTGCTCCTACAGAAGATTGATAATTTTACGGTTGGTGCGCTGTGGTCATTTTCTCGTATTTTGGTTTAGAACTACGTGAACGGTTTCCTCACAGTCGTTAGTGCTACTGCCTGCCATGGAAGACAGTTGTGCTTGAGATGTTTTGAATAATCAAGCAATCTTCACCGCTTCATCTTGTGTTAGAGAGGACCCTTTACTTATTAGTTATTCTCTGACCTTGGGCGTCTGGGTGTGTTAAATCCTTGGGCCATCAAGGATGCAAAGATGCGTTGAAAAAAACAGGGTAAAGGCAAAGGTACCCTGACAAAAATCAGTCGTCTCTCGTCTCCCCAATGCCCCACGTACCATGAAAGGTCTTCAGATCCTTTTAAGAGATTCATATAAAATAATACTCTAGACAAAGAAATGTACGATTTACTTACAAGGAGCCTAGCGATGACAGATTTGAAAATATTCCAGGCGGAAGCTTATTGATCTTGTTGTTCCCCAAAATCCTACAGAAAGCATATGATATTAACGACTTAAATTTGTAAATAATTCTACGGTAGTGAATGGGCAATAACTACCAACATTCAAGAGAAAAACG